TAGACATTCGCCGATGAGCAATCAGTATTGATTGGAAGCACGATTTGAGCTCTAATAACAGCAACACTGGGCTGTTTCCTGATTACTGCCTTTTTATACCTCGCTTTCGTCCGCTCAGGCAATCAGTCTGCAATCCCTCGAGGGTCTTCCCTTCAGGGAGCTATAGTAATCTTAATTTCCCTACGGTGCCTTTCGCGAGCGATCGCGACAGGTAGTATCTATTAGATTCAGTTGTGAATAGCTGGTACAGCGATCCAGATTACGCTAACGTACTTTCAGGCAGCGTATAAAAATAAGTTCAAAACATTATGGTTTTTCCATTTTTTTCACCATATTTTTTGGGTTTGGAAAAAAAGGAAAAAAAAAGACGAACAGGTCTAACGAAGTTATAGAATGAGAAAGAAAAATTTATTACTTATAATACCAAATATATTCAGTTATAATTTTTTTAAATAATACCAGATCTTATTACACTTTTTTTAAGTTAACAGACGGCAACTGACAGCAATAATGGAACGTTAACTGTTTCCTTCACGTAAACCAACTTCAATATCCAGATTTAGTTATGTCGGCAAGAAAAAAAACTAAGAAATGTAAAGTTAATAAATTTGTGGTTAATAAATGAGACAAAGTAAATGCTGACACACCCAACAATTTTCGGTCAAAGTTGGTGATTGATGACTTGCCTTACCAAATAAACTATTTTTCGCTGGAAAAAACAAGCTTCAACTCAAAAAGAAGAATTTAAAAAAAAAACTAACAGAAACCGTCTGATTTGAAACAAGTATCTTCATTACTTGTTGGTTTTAGAGAAGGTTTTAGGTTATCGTTTGGTTTTAGTACATTCGCTCTTCCTACTGTCGAAAGAAAAACTTTTATTTTTTCATTCAATAGCAGACAGACACTTCTTTACTATACTGTTTTTCATTCAGTGAGGTACTTCTGCAGATATAAAATATCGTGTTTTTTTCAAATTATTAAGCACAGTATTTAAAAAGCAGTAGTTAGCTTCATACTGCTGTTGTTAAGCAAAAAGTTGTATTTTGATTTTAGCAAGAGCTAAAATCCACAAAAAAAAAA